CTAACACCTCAACTTTGTCGAAGACGTCACACCCTGCATGATAAGAGGTTCATTATCAATCACTGCAACAAGGTGCAACTTCACATCACTTGCTTGATAAAAGTCATTAAAGGAGGTAATTCTTACGGTGTAACACAATGTATAAACTTGATATCCATTTGCACGATAATTGAAGAATGTGCATGAAGGCAATATATATATAAATATATTTATGTTTAGGTTACTTTAAAAGGACTAGAAGTACCTTCTGCTTTATTGCCCAACTTGTGTAGTTTCCCCTGCAATTATCAATCTTCGTTTTCTAAACAGTTTAACTCGTTTTGCCGAAAAAAAAAAAAATATTTAAAAATATTTAAGGTGAAGTGCGGGTTCATAACACTTATAAAACTATAGCAAAAATATAATATGTCACATTTTTTTTTTTTCTTTTTTGAAAATATGAATAATAAGAGGTATTGTGTAGTACCTTTCAATATCAAGGTTGCATTAATGTTTATACTAAACACAGTAATTAACTGGACATATATCCTTCACATGAGCACAGATTCCAAAGTATAATGCATCACTAAAAATTACATATAATTGGAAATTTTCTATCTTGATTAGAAAATTGGAGTTCAGTAAAATTTCAAGTTTGAGTGCGTGGTGTGAAAATTCATATGTTTTCGGTATCTATGTATTAATATGCGTATACATAAGTAAAACAACGAAGGGTAGAACAAGAAAACATACACACTATATACATATATATGTATAGATAAATAGATAGATGTAGACACACACACACAAACACACACACACACACACACATATATATATATATGTGTGTGTGTGTGTGTGTGTGTGTGTGTGTGTGTGTGTGTGTGTGTGTGTGTGTGCATATATATATATATATATATATATATATATATATATATATATATATATATATACACAAATACATATATATATACAAAAAAAAATATATATATATATATCAGATATGTATATATATAACATATATGTATATAAATACATATACATATATATATGTATATATATATATATATATATATATATATATATATATATATATATATATATACATATATATATGTATGTATACATATATATACACATATATGCATATATATATATTCGTATATGTATGTATACATACATACTTATACACATAATACACACACACATACGCGCACACACACACACATACACACACACACACACACACACACACACACACACACACACACACACACACACACATATATATATATATATATATATATATATATATATATATATATACATATATATATATATATTTACACAGACACAGACACACACACACACACACATATGTATATACATATATATACATACATATATATATATATATATATATATATATATATATATATATATATATATATATATATATATATACTGTATATGTGTGTCTGACCACATGTACGCACACACGGACCCACCAATATGCATTTGTATTACAAGCTCACACCCACTTACATATATACATATATACCTGTTTGTTTACCTGTGCATGTTAAGATATATTTTTATCCGTGTACGAACAACAAGTATTCAGTCCCTCTGTCATTCATTCTTCCATTCATTCTGTGACTGTGTTTGTCGAAAATTCATCAATGTCGCCTGAACACAAAGGTCTCTTAGAGCTTCCTCAGTCTTCCTTATTCACTTGTTTATTCGCTTGTCTCTCTTGTCAGTATTTTTTTTTTCTTTTCTAACCCTCCATCCACCTTTCTGAAGTGTTCGTTCGGTCACTTTTTCCTATCGGATTACTGAAGTGTCTTTATACGTCGCCTCAATTTAAATGTGGTCCATTTTGCTTCTTTTTAGTGTCGAGTTAAAGCTTTTTTTTTCCTTTTAGTTACATGAAATCTAAAATTAATTATGCTCGTGGATCGATAAATAAATGAAAAAAAAAAATCTAAAGAAAAAAAACACGAGCTAAAAAGATTTTTCTTTGGGAAATACAGGCAATAAAATCCATTTAGTGACGGCGCACCTCGGTTTGTGAACAGTGATAGAACAGTCAAAGATGAACTAGCCTAAATTTTCTTCTCGAGTTAAGACATCCCTT